CGAGGTAGCTGTGAAGTTTCATATATTCTTGAGTAATTTATCAATATTTAACTTGTAAAGTTTCTTAATGCAACTTATTGATATTGTGGCAGAGGCTTGAATTTCTTGGTGACTCAGTGTTGGACGTGCTTATCACATGGCATTTATATAAGAGTCACACAGATATTGATCCAGGGGTGTTGACTGACTTGCGATCTGCCTCTGTCAATAATGACAACTTTGCTCAAGTTGCTGTTAGACATAACCTTCACCAGCATCTCCTACATGGCTCAGGATTATTACTGAGCCAGATATCAGAATATGTGAAGGCCATTTCTGAATCGGATCCTAGATCACTTCCTAACATTAGAGCTCCGAAGGTTGGTGTTGTTGATCATTGGATTATAGCATGTGTACCTATACACACACACACAAAAAGAAGAAAACTCTATCTGAAAGATAAAGTATTCCTACTAAAAGATAAAGTATAAACTAATCTATCTAAAAGATAGAAGATAAACTCATCTTAAATAGAATACTACATATCTACTTACAGTAAACAATATTATTAGCATTGGTTTGTAGATTGTTTTCAATGTTTGCAACATAAAACAAAGATGAATGAAATTCATTTTACTTTCTTATCCATACATACAATGGAGAAAATAGGTAAACTAATAAAGGGAATCTTTTAGTTAAATAAATCAAATTACGCAAATCTAAACATTTTAGTGGTTTTCTTCGTGCATGCCAACATAGAGATTTACAAATTTCAAATAAAGTCCTATTTTACTTCCCAAATAGAGATTGTCACTTTCAAATAAAAACAATTCCTCAATCATGTGGCACAAAACATATATGCAAGACTTCTTCACAAGTTGTAACATGTTTCTTTCTGTTATAAATGTCACAGGCACTTGGAGATCTAGTGGAAAGTATTGTTGGCGCAATGCTAATTGATTCCAAGCTCAGTCTAGACCGAGTGTGGGAGGTTTTCTGTCCTCTCTTATCCCCCATAGTTACACCTGAAAAACTTGAATTGCCCCCGTTTCGTGAATTAAATGAATTGTGCGATTCTCTTGGGTACTGTGTAAAAGTAAATGAAAACTGTGAAAAAAAGGGATCCATGATGCATGTTGAGGTTAGTGTACAGTTGCCAAATGATTTGTTGGTTCGTGAAGGAAAGGGGACAAATAAGAAAACTGCAAAAGGAGAAGCTTCTTTTCATTTGTTGAAGGACCTTGAGGTTTGTTCTTTTATAATTGTGTTCCAGAATCTTCTTTTCCTCTTTGTTAGTGTTAAGGTTTTTCCTAGAAAGTGAATTATAAACCTAACTTAATTTCATAAAAATTGGTTTGTAAAGTAAAATCTGCAACTATTTACATTATATAATTTGGCTACATGTTTAGTCGATGTGGGATTCCTGTCACAATCTCTCACACCAAGGATTGAACCTATCGAGCAAAGGAATTCAGAGATACAATAAGTCCATAAAACTTTTGTTGGATAGACTTTGATATCATTTTTAATCTCATGAATAATCAATGAGTATATTCTTAGCGGATATATTTGTATGTATATATAAAAAGACAAGTACAAGTATATTCCAGCCTCTGCTCCTTAACCTAAAGCTAGGTACACCCAGAATCAGCTTTATGTAAATAACGAACATTTTAACAGTCTTCTAAAATGCATGCACATGTTGTGTTAATCTTAGTCATGAATAGTTTATTTAGGGACAATGTTTCTTATGTTGAGAACTAATTTTTGGTGAATAAGATGCTAGTAAATGCTTTGTAAACTATAGAAATATGTTCACCTGAACATATAAAACGGGGAGAAATAAACTTTCCAAATTGATGATCATGATTGAAATATCCCAAAAGAAAACATATAATGGATCAAGCTAACAAAATGTATAAAATATTTCAGTTGTGTTATGCCTGGGTAGTTTCAAATTTGTTCTTCCCTTTGTATAGCCTACCTTTGTTAACTGAAAAAAGTGGCTAACAGATGGGATTCCATACTTTATAACATGGGGTTAAAATAAATACTCTGAGTAGTGTCTGCATTTGCACTAAATACTATTAGAAAATGAACCATTGGAAATATTTCTCTACATATCTTTTGTCCTGTCCACCTTACCTGCACAGCTTTCAAAATATTTATCGATGTTTTTCATTCTTCTGGTATCCAAATTTGTATGTTTTATGACCAATTGGCTTATACTCGTAATCCTGCAGAAGCGGGGAATTTCATATTGTAATATCATGTCCAAGGGAAAAAGAGATAATTCTGTCCATATCAATGATTCACCTCATCTCAAAATGGATTCTAGTACTTGTTTTACTCTTAACGAAGAACATTCCTCAGAGTCGGTACATAAAAGGAACAGATTTGATGGAACTAACCCAACTGAAAGTATTTTGCCTCTCAAATACTCTTCTGGTGACGACTCTGGTTTTGGTGCTTCAATTCCAGGTTTGCACTGACTTCTTTTTCTTGTTTGATATCAAGTTTTGTCACCCCCGTGGCAGTGTCCACTTTTGGGAAACTTTCTCCGTTTGCTTCTTTGTAGTTAAATGTTTATTTTTTTAGAACAAGCAGACAAATTAGAGCAAATTGAAGTGATGTGTTTATTTCCATTGTCTATCATGCAATTTTCTTATTCTCAGGCTCCATATACCCATGCTTATAATTTTTTATGAAGAATGGAAAAATATCTGCTATATCAGCTATGTGAAACATCTGAATTTATCACTCTCCTGCTATAAGAGTTAATTTGTTAACTACCTATGGATTAACTTCAATTTTTATTCATGTTACACAGTTAAGTTATCAATTAAAACGAAAAAGGGAGGACCACGGACCACACTATTTGAGGTGTGTAAGAAACTACAGTGGCCAGTGCCTGCATTTGCTTCAACAGAATATAAAGATAGGTGAGCCAGGAACTAATTTGTCCTTTCAACTGCTTAAGCTGGCTGAATCTTGCAGAATTTTTTATATGTAGAATTACATGAAGGATTCTTATATGTATAATATGTGAACAGAACCGATCCCTAAACCTTTAAGATCACTTGTTTCAAAAGGATACTCTAAATGATATTATTGTTTATATATGGTGTCGAGCAAAACATGTGATGTGCAGATAATAGAATTGGTAATATCATGGCACGTGAATCTGACTAGTCTTTATTCTGTAACAGATCTCTATTTGAATCCTGTGAAGGTCTGCAAGGAAGCAAGGGACTGAACTGTTTTGTTTCGAAAGTTACCTTGTGCATACCCAAGTATGGAAATATAGAGTGCCAAGGAGAAGCTAGAAGTGATAAGAAAAGCTCCTTTGACTCTGCTGCAGTTAAAATGCTTCTTGAGCTGCAAAAATTGGGAAAAGTTGAAATTGATCCTCCCCTTTCTAGTTAAGGGGAAGAGAAAGGAAGGGAAGGGAAATGAAGAGGAACAAAAGGGAAAAGATTATAAGAGAAGGGCTGGTACTACAACTTTGTGCCCCCAAAAAACATGAACTGATGTTTTGGGGTTGCAAATTTGTGTGTTACTAGTATTGTGACCCAAAGTAGAAAAAGATTGGGATTGGAAACAACGAGGTGGTCCTTTTCCTTTCCTTTCCTTTCATTTTCTGGGGGAAGTTTGTAGTGTTTATTTAGAAATAAAACTGTTAGACATGCCTTTGGTGCTGTGCAAGAGAAAGAATAAAGTTGCACAAATAAGCAATGCTGAAATTGGGTCTGTAGGTTTATAATGTATGGGTGTATCAAATGTAATTTATTGTTGTAAGCTACTTTGTGTGTGCCATTTTTAAAATACATGAAATAATTATTCAAAAATAAAGGATTGACAAACTCAAATATAACTAATGTATTTGTTTAATATAATTTATGCTTTGTTTTTACTGTCTGTATGATATATTTTTGGTCTGAAATACATTGGTTTTCTCAGCCGTTTTAATACCTCAACAAAATGTTTATCTAGCATACCTTTCACAATAAACATTCAAAAGAATTTCCTAAATCAGTTTGTGATATCTCCAGTGGATTGGATTTATCTTGCAATCAATCTAAATTCTGTCTAAATACCTTTCTACCTAGAGTTTCCCAAATAGACTTTCTCTGGACTCAATTACGAATTCTTGCATTGTTAGAGATCCAATAAAAGACATCTTCAAGAACGAGGTCGATAATGATGGTCATGGTTCTGATGATTCAGTGTCGGAGTTGAGCATGTAGGAGGAAGATTTGCTAGGTTGCATGCATAAACTCTGGTGGCATCTCAATATAAAATGGGAAGGTGCGTGTAAAATCAATTCATGTAATAAATATGCAATGCAACATTTTTTCTTTGGAAACATTATGTACCAAAAAAATTGTTTATTTTGTTAATAATCACCTTAAAAATTATATCCACAATTATTCATTGAAAGCAAATGTAACTTCCTAGTTAATCATCAAACTGTTACTTTTCAAGTATATTTTTCAGGTGATATATGCCATCAAGTCTACTTATTCCACGGTGATTTATTCATTAAATTTCACATGAAGATTAAAATAATTATTTAATTACTACCTATGCAAGCAAATTGTCAATTAATTTCCAAAAGAACGTTTTCTTCACCCGATATTTTCTTTTATCAATTAAGACGCTAAAAATTAAAAAGGTAACTCTTCCACCCTCCCTCCGAATTGACACCTACGTAATAGACCGAAATTCTTGTATGTTCCAGTTTTGAACAATAACATCAAGATGATTTTGTAATATTATAATTTTATATATTCCATTTTACTATAGAAGTTTCCAAAGAGATTTATTCGAGAAATGCTCCAGCAGAAATTAATTGTTTAAACATGGTGAATGTAACTTTCCCTTTAGAACAATTCAGCAGCTCTCATCTTGAACATCGATGTGTCATTTATTATGCAGTAAAATTGAAAATTTGTATTTTTACAGTAAAAACAATAGACAGATTGAAGCAAACACATTATAATTTAACCTATCTTAAAATAATTACTAAAATCCTATTCCTATTATCATTGATTTGAATGCACAGAGCAGAAAAGTCTATACATAAAATATCATTCAGAACACTCATCCTATGGATCTTATAATCCAAATATTTAAGACCAAGTGTGCACTTTATACCAGAAACCCTTTTTCCCTTTCCTCGATAACTAATATAACAAAAATAACAATGAAGTATCAATGAAAAGATTACCATCAACAACCAACTATATTTCCCAATCTATCATTGATATATTCACAAGCTAAAATTTCCCATTTTTGGCTATTCATACCAACACGGGAAATTCCTGTAAAACGATATATCACCTTAGGCCCTAAGTAATAGCTCATAAACGTTGGAGTTGTTTTCCCCACTTACACGCTTCAACATTTCAAAACTTGTTCGACTACCCAAGAATTCAACCCTTTTGAACGTTACGTGGCCACGTGCTATTGTTTCCTTACTTGAGTACACTGATCGTAGCCTATCAGCATGTCTTGAATCACTATGAATTGCAACTTCAATTTCCTGCCTTGACATGTTCTCCTACCATAACGTAAAGTAGATAGAAGCAGAAACCATATTATTAGATAGAGCTGATGATGATGCATGTATTACAAAAGAATAAACTCTGTACCTGATAAAATGCATGTATATGATCCAACACCTGAAGACACGTAAAGCCATTATGGCTGAAAAACGTTCTCGATGAAGGACCCATCTCGGAAAAACGGTCAATTGGGAAGAGTATGGTAAGGAAATGGTTTTTGAATATCAACTCGGATTTCTCACTGCAGAAGATGTTCAGAAAATATTGGAAGACTAGCAATAATTTTATTATATGTTGCTACGCAAGGAAAAGGTGTAACACAAGTCACAGGGAGTTAATAAACAACCTTTCTGTCAGAGGACGAGTGGAGTTCGAAAATGAAGCTTCTGAATCCTTGCCATCCCCTTTTGCGTCGAAAAATATTGAAGCGTGATTTTCACTAGGATCTTCAACACTAAAAGAGTCTGTGTAGATGGAAGCAGTTGAAGTTGAGTCAGATATAGACCAGCAGATAGAGTCGAGAAGGTTGTTGGGTGTTATAGGACGTATTGGAGTTTGACAAGTCTGCAAAATTATGTTCAAATCAAATAAGTGATAAATCCATAGGATGTATATTTTCCTTTCTTTTTAATGCATCCTCTAGAAGTACATGATCGTTGAAGTTTTGTGATGCCAACCTAATTGGGATTTCAAAGTTTCATACTGATGCTTTATGAAGTTAAACCTTTTATACAAATAAGCGATAAATCCAAAGCATCAATCAAATCAAGCAGTAGAGCAAAATGAGGCTTCTTTTCCACATTTGTTAACTGATCAGTTGACCCTCTATAGACGAAATCATGAAATGTCAGCAAATGGGTATTCGATCAGATTGTGTCCTCTCATATTTCCAACTTTTAAATGCTTTATGGATCAAAATTTTCCAAGCTCAACATTTTTTATGTCAAAACGTTGCAATATGATTTTTCTTACACTTACTTGAAAGAGAAAAATAATACACTGATATCCCTTGTTTCTAATTTCTTGACAACTCAAACAATACCCTGTCTTTTGTAAAATTAAACAGAGGTCTAAAAGTAGTTCTACAAAAACTAAGCTAAATAATATAGCGTTTGAAACTAATTGAACTGAATTACACCATAGTAAAGTGAACTTAACCATATTAATCTACTCTAAATTGGTTTTGGATTTCTTAAATTACTTGAATTATTTGAACTATTACCAATGAACATCTTATTTTAAAGTTATATTTTCCAATCATATAAGTTATAGACTAATTTAGTTCAAACAGATTTATTTATAAACAATTCAGCTTTTTTAAAACTAAATTAATATAACATTTCAGTTCAAGCTTTTACAAAACAATTTAGTTCTTTTTTTGTGCAATTCAATTGAGTTTCTTTTATGCAACTGAATTTTGTATCACTTTATTTTTTCACAACCCATGGTGTGTCAATGTAATTTGCCCTTTTTGAGAAGCATCATAAATTAAAGAGTGGATAATACTACTGCTTGGGGTTGAACATTCCCGTGTCTGGTGCCCAAGTTTCGTATGACAGAATTGAAATCTCTCTAGTGTTAAGAAGACTTGTTTTAACTAATATGTGCCAAATTATTATCTTGGATCACATGATTCCTAAATGGACTAAAAGCTACAAACTCTGGTGAATTTAAAATTTAAAACATACAACTGTATTAGGAAGAGGAAAAATAATAGAACAAGACTTTCTATTATTTTTTAGGAAGCCAGAAAGCTAGGAATCAAGAGCAAGCTCACAGAATAAACAGAGGTGAATCAAAGGATGACCTGCATTCGACGGCCACGGCGGTTTCTGACTCCAATTTTTGCAGAGTTCACAATTTGTTGTCTTTCTTCATAGCTGACTTCACTTTCACTATCCAGAGGATAGTCAGTGGCTTTTTGCTTTATTACTTCCTGCATTTCAATACAATTCATGTTATAGTTTCACAAGGGAGAAAACCAAGGTTCTAACACCTAATAGCAATGTTTAAAAAACTAGATTGAAAATGTTTTACTAAACTTGAAAGCACCACAGAAAATAAGAAAAAATGAATTTCAAAACTGTAGAGGAATATATTGAGAAATTACCTTTCCTGAAATGCCACTATTAACGTCTTCAAGTATCAGGCCAACTTGCTTTGCCAAATCAACAGACATGTGAACAAGCCTTCGCACATATTTCTCCTTAGCTGTTTTGATTATCCACAGAGGCTGAAACATATCATAGCAAAGAACTTCGTTGTGATATAAATATTACTGCAGAAGCCTACGTAATGTATAACAATTAAATAGCTTATTAATGTTTTTCACGAGTTGTGCAGCTATAGAATGAAAAGGTAAAATAAAAGGACAAGCAAACTGTTTGAACTTCAGAAAGTTATATCCCTTCGAATGGTCTTTCTTATGATTAGATAAATATTAGAAAACAATGTAGGAGGACTTACTGTAATGAGGTTATTACAATATCCAAGGTATCTTTGGATTGATGTCCCTTCAGTTACTACATGACTAACATTGCAGCCAACAAACCATTGTTCCACCAAATTAGCACCTTCCCTTGAAGCAGACTCAATAACCTACCAAACAATGCAAAGCATATAAACGTCCAGGAAAAGAGCACAGGAACCAGTCGCTAGCTTAACCAAAACAAGGAACTGATACTGACTATTGTGCAACAGACTCCATATCATGTGAAAGACTTCCAATATAACTAGTATAGTATGATCACAAAATATCAGGTATTTGTTCTCAAACACAATTTTACCTTGTTCCTCAACTCGGATGAAATTCCTGGATCAACATAGATGGAGCAACCAGACAAAGTTGAGTCCGAATTTCTGATAGACTCTCTCACAGAGAATCTTTGAAGTTCCTCAACGTTATTAGCTTTCTTCACTTGGTGGATTCTTGCCGGAAGACAATGATTATCAGCATTTGTATACTCAGAAAGCGGCCTAAAATCTTCCATGAGCACGTTGTTATCCCCATAACTCTTCACTCTATAATGTGATTCGCTCAACCTCACTGCAGCAGATACAATAATGTACTTAATTATATAAACATGCATAATTTAAATTCATACATCATTCGAGTTACAACAGTTCAACCATGCTACTTAATTATTAAAATCAATCCAGATAGAGCTAAAGAAGATGAAAATAAAATTAGTCAGAAAAAGTGAAAAATATTTGACCTTAGACAACACAGATGAGTGCTCCTTACTGGATTATTTATGATATTTTGATCAAGTGCAGCAAGATGCTGTTGCTACGAAAAAACCAATAGATTCTTTGAAATTAAAAAAAAATTAAATAAAAAGGAATATGTATCCATTTAAGCTTATCCAACCACTCATTCTCTGAATGAGAAGTGTGTAGCCAGATAATCACCAAAAAACTGCGCTGCTGACTGCAATCACTACAAGAATGTGTAGTTTGTTACATACAAGTAGACTCTACAGCATGAGAGTACAATTCAACATGGGGTCTAAAGATGCAAAATATGAAAGTTGCCAGGTTCCTGTATTGTTTGACTCTACAGCATGAGGGATGAATCATAATCACCAAGAAAGTCAATCAAAATATAAAACATGTCAAATTGAAAACAGTTAAAGTCAATCACCATTTTTCCTGACGCTATCCACAAACCAACCCAGTGTGACAATAAAAAGCCCATTTTTTGTTCCATGCTTCAGTGCATGCTCAAACTTACGTCCACCAAAACTGTACTACACGTTAAAGATTTCATGATGGCAATGAACCAATCAACACAAAATGTATTGGATGAATTCCAATGCTTTGATAAAGGGCCACAAGCAATCATTGTGATCATGTTATGGTAGATCCACTAAACATAAATAAATTATATAACATCTTTCTGAGCTCAGTACAAGTAAATTTAAATAAAGAAGAGAAATTGATAAGGTACGACACTTTGTTCTGACACAACCGAGAAAGTAAAGAAAATATTTTCTGAATGTGAACAGAATTTTTCCCCATGGGGTGTATAATCAAGGTATGACAGTAAATGAGCATTGCATCTTCGTACTACAGCATCATGCTATTGTTATCACAATGTAGGAAAAATCGTATAATTTATGCCAGAAAAGGATATCTGAACCACCAAATGGGTACATTGAGGATGCAAATTAGGGCTATACAGGCCACCTAATCTCTCTGTAGCCTCCATGACCTGATTCCTTGCTTCTGCAAAATCACCAACCGAAAGAAAACAACACAACTGAATATCTCTTTAACTAGTCACGAAAGAGAGAGAAGAGAAACAAAGACGTGACAAAATATCTACTATCATTTCGACTGATAACTAAAACTACACCTTTTCAGCCAATTACATGAAAAGTTTTATGCTAAAAAGACAAGACAACATAAGAGAACAGGTGAAGATAAATTTCATGAAAACGTGCACTGATTATTATCAACCAAATAGAGTACAAAACAAACCCCCTTTTGTTTCTCAACCCTTTGTTACATTTGCTCACTGTGAAAGATAAAACATGAACAGCAGATTACAGAAGTCCAAATATGTTTCATTTGACATCTAATATTGACAAAAAAAAGATAACCACCATTCACCCGTCGATACCGTCTCGATGGAAAGAATAAGGTTCATTCTTTCGCAAAATAAGATGTTATTTAAACACTTATGCTGAATCAAGCCAATGGCTTGGTAATCGGTTGATCGAAACAAAAAGGTTAGAGAAACAAAGAAAAGAAAAAGCAATGGAGAGTGTCAAGCCAGAAAAATAAAACAAAATTCAACCAACCAAAGGTGAAAAGCTGAATGATACAGGAATGAATTCACACCTTTAGATAAACCAGTGACGCATATGACGAGACCGGCAAAAGGAGCAGTTGATGATGGCACTTGCACAGAGGAAGAAACAGGAGACATTGGCTCCAATGGTTGCAAACCTCTGAACGAAGGAAGTGAAGATGAAAACAGCCTCGAACACCCCTTGCCACTCACAACTTCAACTCTACCATCACCACCCATAACAGCCACAAGATTTTTATTACACACAAATTTCAAAAACAAAAGAAACTATTATCCATCATTCAGCAATTGAAGATTGAAAACCCGCAAGGCATCAAAATTCATGACACGGGTTTCCGATAATTCAATAGAAACAACGAATGGGCGAATTAATAAAAGGGGAAAAAAGAGTCGGGTCTGGGAAGAGTTGAACTTTATATGGAGCAAACCCAGATCACGTGAAGGGAAGAAACAGTTCCAAAATTGAAATTTTGTACAAGTTAAAAAGGGCTTTGAGATTAAAAAAAAAACGGAATCTTGAGTAAAGGGGTTGCTGTTGTTGTGGAGTTGGGGACAGAGAATGGATTTTGAAGATGTGTTCGTTTTTGTTTTGGAGTGTGTGTGTGTGTGCAGAGCAGAGATGGGACAATAAGAAAAGGGAATTTTTTTGAATGTGGTGCTCTGTAATCTCTGACGAGGAGTCACAGTCAGAATTATGAATCTTCTTTATCTGCGTGAGTAGGCGCAGGAAAGAGTGACCCCCATACCATTATAGTTGCTACTTGTTATAGTGCTTTTTTAAAAAAGGAAAAAACCCTGCTTTTGTAAATTGCAAATGCATGTGATGTCTGAAGGAAATAGTGGGATGAGAGAGAGAGAGATATGGAAGAAAAAGCGGGTCAAAGCAGTAACTGGAATCACACTCACACACCCTTCTCACGTCTCAACTTAACTCAACCCAAATTGAAATGAAAAGAAAGAGAGAGAGAAGAGAGAACAGGCTTTTGTTTTGAAAAAGTTTGGAGGATTCCCATTTCTTAAAGTGAGCGCGAGGTTTAGGAAATGTGAGTTAAAGATAGATGTGAGGAAGAGGAAAGAGACAAAGCTCACCTGGGTTGTGGTTAAACTCTTCAACTATGGACCGTGTCGTTGGGTGGGGTTCATGGTCTTTGCTCATAACAACACAGGAGACTGCTGTGTGGTCCGTGTTGTGTTGTGTTGTGTACCTGTCTCAGCGACACGCCGGCGAAACCTTCTTTTCAAATTCAATGTCCTCATCCTCCAAACTATTATTGCCCCAATTACATTTACATCTTTATTTTTTTATAAAATGCAGACTTAAAAAAGTTAAAAATATACTTTAATATATATATATTTTTTACATTTGATAGTATTTTTTCTTTTTTATTTTTTAAAGAAATATAAAACTTTATTTCTTTACAACTATTTTATTTTATACTATTTGTCATATAAATGAAAAAGTTTATCACATTATTCTAAAAAAGTTACATTTCCAAGAAATCTAAAAGTGAATATAATTTAAAATAAATAAACAAATCTATATCACTGTATAAACTATTGATAATTCTCGAAAAAATATTAACAAAATAAGTAATGGACAGACATAATAAGTTTGTTAATAGACTTTAAACTTTAAATAATTTACTGTTATACTTTTATAATCTTATTCTTTTAGAGCTAACATAACAGTTATATATTATAGTTTTAAGTTTCTGTCCATAGAAAATATACTCAATGTGACTCTTAAAATAATTATTATAGAAGTATAAAAGCATGGTAATTGATAATTTATAATTTCACAATAGTTTACAACTGTTTTACATTATTAGTGTATATTTTTCTTTTCTTCTTTCTAATATATCTCCTCTTTTCTTTCTGATTTGAAAGTGATTTATTTATTTTTTTAGGTAACTTTAAAATAAGATATCACCTCAATATTTTCTTTTCTATTATTGAGTTTTGTAGGGTAAGATTAAGACTTTGTTTTTTTATAGATAAAAGTTCGAAAGATTCTTGATTTTATTTTTGTTTTGCTACTTGAAGTGTATATGTTATTTTAAAATTGCATCTAATGATTCTTTAACATACACATCAGGTTTTTAAAGGACTTGTTTGGAAGTGAATGTGTTTAATATTAAACATTATCGTATATAAAAATTGAAACTTCATAAAAATAATTGAAAACTTTTAGTACACAATCTAGATTTTTTTTTACATATTTGATATGTTTTTAGAATTCTTTAATCTAATTGTTATATTTAGGAAAACTAGTTCTAAGAATGTTTTAAAATGGATAGAAAGCAATTTAATATCACATTTTTTTGTATGAAACCATACTTTCTTTAAAGATAATTGTACTCAGAAAATGATGAAATTACATTGATAAAACACATACCTACTATTTCATGATTCAATTGGATAATTTCTTCTAAAAAATAATTGTTATATCTTTTTTTATCAATTTGATTATGTTTAACGAATTATTTTGCGTTACAATTATATTTATTAAAATTTATGCAATGTATCAAAAGTATATTTATTAAAATATGAATCATTTAATTATCGATTTATTATTGTTAATTTTTCTAAATATTTAGACGAAGCCAAATCCTCATATGAGATCAGTATATGATCCGTGCATGGAAAGAAACTAATCTTAACATCTCAATAAAAAATGAAATTATTGATTCTATTTAAACAACTCTTGATTTGTGGATCTACGCATTTAATTGTATGACATATTTTGCTATGATACATACCCAACAATTACCCTAAAAGAACTACTAAATGTATATTACGTTATTATCAAGAGATATACACATACAATAATTTATATAATATAATTACTAGTCGTCTTATTTATTATATTTCAAATTTCTGTCATAGTTTTAAGATTATCGTATAGTATGTTGTTTAGTAACAGCTCTTAATATAAATAATGACTTAATTTGTGATGGTAATATAATTTAATTCATCACGTATCTAAAACTTAATGGATAACTAACACTTTTCGTGCATTATTTCAAATTTGTAATAAGTTTAAAATTTAAACCAATGTCATTTTATAATTTCGCAAATTAAGTATTATTTATTATCAATGTCATGCTATCATTATCTTATTATTATTATACTACGTTAAGTCAGATTAGCACATTTTTCTTGCCTGATGTAACTTTTTCCCTTTTCTTCTCTAGATTTTTACTTTCAATTAAAAATAAAAATAACTATCAATTATTAATTTCTATATTGAAGTCATCATTTATCATATTTATTAATTTTCTATCAGCCTTTGTTTATTTTTGTCAGCAATCATAACTCATCCCTTTTGAGCTTGGAAACATTATTGGTGGTTGAATTTGTTGCAGTGCTTTCAGACATTAATTACTGAATTGACAGCACACACAACATTTTGTGATTTTTCAAAGAATCCATGATGTGAGTTATAACTTGTGAGAAATACTATTCACACATAATATTTCAATACGTAATCATAATCATTCAAAAATAAATTTAACGATGCTGATCGCACTTCAATATACATACATGTTTTCCACTCTAAAAACCATCCACCTAATACCGCGCGAGAAAACGATAACGTGTAAAGGTAAACATTAATAGATAGTTGTATATAATTGTGAGTTATATATTACAAATTAATTTGAAAATTCTGAGCATGGGAAGCTAAGTTTGTAATGTAGGAAAATGGTTGAGTATATGAATAATTCTGATCGTTGTGCATGAAATCCTCTTTGCACACATGATGCGTCTTTGTCACGTAGCAAAGGGTAGTGTGGAAGAAGAGGAAGGAAACAGGACCACCTTAAAGAGTGGTCACTGGTGATAGTGCAAAAAAAGGTAGTTTGGTTGAATTTGGAAATTTTCTCGTGGCTTGACTTCACCCTCGTCTTCTTCCCACCCATACCATTACCTTTCCAAACTCGGCCCCTGTGCCAACGTTAAAATCTACAACTCTATATGTTTGTTTTATTAATCTACAAACAGCTAGGTCGGGATAACGTTTTCTAAACCATTCGTCGTGCATCACACAAAGCATAAACAATCACATGTATATATATATATATATATAGTTGACTTCATGTTTTCCACAACTCAAATCCATGCTTCTTTGTGGTAATAAGATTATTATAACACATTAGTTTAGGTTAAAATATATGAATTTTACACTGCAAGATGTCATAAAAGTAAACACAAAAAAAAAAAGTGAGTTGATCTTGTGATTCAACTTCAACTCGTGGCATTGGATTTTCTGGCTCACAACATTGCAAGAGATTCCGTGAACTTATTTATTTAACTAAATTAATTCATCTCTCTCTCAATATATATACATATATATAAGTATATATATATATATAGTTGTGGCATAGATGGAGTGTAAATACAGTACTCCACCACGTGTGTGTTGCCAAAACTAGCTAATAAGTGGCCTATAATATCAATGGATGGTTGCAAGAGAATTGAAAAAAAAAAGAATAAATAATGGAAAAAGAAAAAGGTGGGTGAGACAATGGAGTCAACTAAGGTGTTAGCCCCCACTAAAGTATACATGATGAGCTTTGGAGAATAATGGTGGTAAGAAAATTATAATTTTGATTTGGAAAAAAAAAAGGAAATAGGTAATGCGAGACCATAGAATAAATAGAACTTGTTAAATAAGAATTTGTAATATGATAAATAAGATGACAATATTTTTTATATTTTCTTAGGAGATCATAATTAATGCAAAATTCTTATTGACTTTGTACAGGATTAATATTTTAGAAAAGTTATTGAATTTTTTAGTAGGACTTTTGCTCCAACCACTTATAGTTAAAATTTAGTAGAAACTATAGTTATAAGTGAGATTTGCTAAATAAGAATTATCACTTAGTTGTTGGTGATTGAATGGTTATCCAATAGGCACTGTTCTGTCCAATAGTACAGTAGCTTCATTCCTATATTTTAACTCTTGATGCTTTCGAGTAGACTCCTGCAATTTGCTGGCCTACAGAAGATTGTATGAAGCTTACAAACAAGAAGTTGGCCATAAACAAAAAAATAAATTAGTTTAATTTCACTAACATAAAGGGTGACGAATCATACTTCTCAATAGGCAAGTCCATGACTTACACCATCTTTTGGAGAATTGAAAATTTTATTTTCTCATATAATTACTATATGATTAAATATATTAATATTTTTACTCTAAACTTTTTATTTATACTTAGTATCATTACCATTATTATTAATGTTATTATTTAAATATAATATTTCATTATTTAAAAACATGTGGTTGTCTTTAACCAGCACATGTAGCATTCACATGCGAGCGAGTAAGGTCACATTCTGCGAATCAGAATAACAAAGTTAAAAAACTGTTGAAAAATTAAACTATTTTACTAATTGATAATTTTATAACTGATTATTTGTTATAATAAATTTATAATTAATTTTATTTGAGAGCATTTATTTGAAAATCATTTGTAAATAGATTTCATTTATATACAATCAAAAATCAATTGTTACATAAAAGGAACAAGACATATGAAGCCGAAGAAACATACTGTTGGAAAATTATAATATACTGTAAATTTCTTTATTATATGACTTCTTCGATAAAGAGAAATTCTAAATGTGTATGATGAAGTACTAAGGTACAATGTTCGTCACGTTTTCGTAATGAAACAAAAAATTGAGGCTTTTGATCACTTCAAGGATTGGACGATGCCCATGCTAAACCATATCGATAAGAGAGTTAAGTGTTTAAGAATGAACAATACTAACAAATTTTGTAAACATGAAGACACGGTTTGTCATACTTCGTAGTAGAATACAGTAATGAAAAGGACGAATTGGACCTTATTGGAAGAGTAAGAAGCACATTGTTTCATTATGGGTTGATGCTATCAACACATCATGCTTCTTGCTGAATCAATCTTCGTCGACGACTATTAATCTCAAAACCCCTGTTGAGTGTTGGGGTTTGATTTTACAAGTCACCTGATCACTCAACTCTGAAGGCATTTTG